CCATCCCCTCAACCATTAATACGAGTGGAGACTATCATCCTGAAAATAGGGTTAATAAGGAACAACCGGGTTTTTTCCCTGATAACCGGGTTATGGGCCTGGTTTGGGTCAAAAGACGGGTTACGTACCAATAACCTCTTTTTTTTAGGGTTAAGGGGTCCACAGGTATACACCTTGGGCCCTATCTCCTCAAATTAAGGGGTACTGAAGGCTCTGGGCAGAGGCGACAGATACTTCACCCCTAAACCCTAAACCCGGTCGCTATCGAAATGTCTGGGCGTAGACTCTTGACCCGCGGCTCTAGAGGCCCAGTCGCCTATGCAATGCTGTACTCAACTACCCTAACATACCAGAACCTACCTTTTTTGTAGGGTTCCCTATAACTCTTCCAGATTAGGGCTTGTAATGAGAGCCCAAAAAAAAGAGGGTTTGGTAGTTTGTAAGGGGTAGGGTTGTGAAAGGACAAGTAGCCACTTCCTACTTAGGTCATAGGGCTTCAAAAATATAGTCCTCTTCTGTGTCGGAGTGGAAGTACCCACATAGGAACCCCTTGAGGGCCTGACTATATACCATGGAGGTACATAAACCGTTTAGAGTTTCGGGGTCTTGAGTCGCACAGGAATTTCCACAACAGTTCTGGTCAAGGATTCCCCCAACAACGCAACATCTACTTATGCCATCCCCTCCTAGCCATTGGGCGTAATGGAACACTTCAGGGCCTTGTCGATGGCCGCGAGCTCCTCGCCACGAAGGCCCTGGCGTTCCTGGCAGAAGGTACAGCTACCTAATGTAGGGCTGCAGGGGCCTTGAAAATTCCAATAGGGGTTGACAGCGTGTTAACACACGGTGTTATCGCTGCAAAGGTAAGTTCGTAGTATACACTAACTATTTCAACACCTGTATTAAAGTCTCAAATGGAATTAATCTGGGGCACCCATTCTCTTATCGTCGGAACAAGAAGTTCAGGGCCCTCCTTGTATGCCACGTAGCTATGGTAGGATGACAGGGTACCTACTCAGCGACAGGAAGGGCTTGGTGCAATAGCTTGCTTCGGGTTCCGACTTTGTGGTGCCGTGGTATAGGGACCAGGAGCAAATGGCCTAGGGCCTAGGGACTCGTGGGTTTCTACACTATAAAAGAGCCCTAGAGATAATCGAGCAGTATACTCAGCCCTAAACCCTAAACCCTAAACCCACCAGTCTGTTACAAGCAGGCCGTGAGGCTCAAGATGAAAGGCGAAGTTGGATTCAATGTCGCTTGAGGCTTCAGTGTTGGGGCTAAGGAAAGCTTGGGGGGCTGATTGTGTTTGGGGGTTTAAGGCTTTGGGTTCAGGTCTAGTCTAGGGTTGAATGCTTGAAGACAGGAGTTCTGGTTGAATAGAGAAATGAATCGACCGTTCGATTTAGCTCGCTTTCCTCGGCGTGTCCTACCTTGACAACGGCTAATAATGAGTCCAAAACCGGACACGTCTAGAGCATTTAAACAATGGTGGACTGCAAATGTGGATAGATAGATAGATAGATAGATAGATAGATGGATAGGTGGGTAGATAGATAGATAGATAGATAGATAAACAGATAGATAGATCGATAGATAGATAGATAGATAGGTGGATAGATAGGTGGATAGATAGGTGGATAGATAGGTGGATAGATACCTAGATAGCTAGATAGATAGAGAAGTAGATAGGTAGGTAGGTAGATAGACAGACAAGTAGATAGATAGACAGATAGATAGACACATAGACAGATGCACAAGTATAGGTTATATTTATATATATCTATATATATATATATACATATGTATATATAAAACATACGCATATAGGTATACACATGTATACCTCTCTCTGTCCTGTATGTATTGCATACATACATACATGCATGCATACATACAAATATATATGCATACATGAATACTTGCATATATGCATACAGACATGCACATATGCATACGTACATAGCTACAGACATACATCCACACATGTATACAACCACGTGTGCGTGCATTTCATACACGTCTATACCAAACCACGATTATGTAGATACATGTGAATTCGCAATCACAACTATACTTATGTGCATTCTCTTGGTATTTGACTATTATCTTTGATACCTATTCATACTTCTATATCGATGTATATCCCTATAGACAAGCTTTACTTGAACATGTATGTATATGTATTATCGTCTATTGTGTTTACACATTTACACACATACAAGTATGTGTTACAGTTGAGTCCAGTGCCGTCCCTGCTCAGTGTGTGCATACAAACTAACCAACCAATTAATTAACTAACTGGCTAGATAGCTAACCATCTAACTATCCAGCTAACTACCCAGCTAAATCACGAACTATCTATCTATCTAACCAACTAACTAACTAACTAACTAACTAACTGACTAACTAACTAACTAACTAACTAACTAACTAACTAACTCACAAACTCACAGAAACACTAACGAACTAGCTAACTAACTACCTAACTAACTAACAAATTTACAAAATCACAAACTCACTAACTAACAAACTAACTAGCTAACTAGCTAATTAGCTAACCAGCTAGCTAGCTAGCTAGCTAGCTAGCTAGCCAGCTAGCTAGCTAGCTAGCTAGCAAACTAACTGACTGACTAACTAACTAACTAACTAACTAACTGACTAACTAGCCACCCAACTGACCCTGACTGACCAGCTAGCTGCCACCTAACTCACTGACTGAGTAAACAAACCCCATCTAAACATCTTACAGGCAAGTAAACAAAGATGGACACGCGAAGTACATGCACCAATAATCAGACAAGTGAACAAGCAGTCAACAAAACAACAACACACATTAACACACGCACCAGGCACGTATCGAATAATTGTACTCCATATCAGGATATTGTCTCGAAGCAGGGTTTAAGGTAATTAACCCTGATCGTTAGATAGACAGGGTCTTGTGTTGGAGAGGCTCTTGCTTTAGATCTGGTCTTCTGAGAGGCAAGGGCGAAAAGAGCTCTGATTGCAATTTAGGGCTTAGGGTTTAGGGTGATTGTATATGCAGAAACGCTTCACTATTTTGTATGATTTCTCATCAGGAGACTGCACAGTTGCGGATCGCTTAAAATCACCACAGCGCTGCACACCATACTATTTACTCTTTTCGCTCCCCCCAAAAGAATCGAGGACATGCTAAACCATCCAGAGCTCCAAGCTCTAAATCCCTAAACCCTAAACCCTAAACCGTGCCGCCTTGAAGTCCTCGGCCTTCTGCGTGCAAGTGACCTTGACATCTTCCAGGTACTTCGTGTCGTCCTGCCATGGCCACAGAGCACAGCACTCAAACCTTCTGAAGCGAAGCAAAGTTCATGCCACCGAACCTTGAACCCTGCAACCCCCCCCCCAAAAAAAAAACAAGCCCTTTATCCCAAAACCCACAACCCATAGGCCCCTAAGCCCTAAAACCCAAAACCAAAAATCCCCAAGCCCTGCAACCGCAAGGCTCTGCACCCGCAGAGTCCCCAAGAACCCACAAACCCCTTAGCCCTGCAACCCTCAAACGCCTAAATCCCTGAACCCGCACTCCCCTAAAGCCCTCAACCCTGAAATCCCTGAAATCCTGAACCCTCATATCCCTAAAGACCTAAACCCTCATATCCCTAAAGACCTAAACCCTCAAACTCCTAAAGCCCTAACCCTAAACCCTCAAAACCTAAAAGCCCGAAAGCCCCAAATCCCTAAAGCCCCATATCCCTAAATCACCAAACCCCTAAAGCCACAAATCCCTAGAGCCCCAAATCCTTAAATCACCAAATCCCTAAAGCACTAAAGCATCAAATCCCTAAAGCCCTAAAGCACCAAATCCCTAAAGCACTGTTTTTGATCAGGGGCTGCAGCGCACATTGCCCTGATCCTTCAGCTGCCGCAAGGTTTGCAAGGGCTGATCTGGGACTAGAGGTTGGACTCCCCAGCTACATGAAACTAAAGCCCGAAATCCCTAAAGCCCTTAAGCCCGAAATCCCCAAAGCACCAAATGCCTAAAGCCCTAAAGCACCAAAGGCCTAAAGTCCCCAAACACTAAACCCTAAACCTCTTTACCACAGGCTTGATTGGAGACCCAAAAAAACAACAACACATCCTCGCTGAGCTTTTTCAGGTCGGCCAGGTCCTTCTCTTTACTGGCCTGGATTAGATCGGCTTAGGGGTTAGAGTTTAGGGTTTCAGGGTGAAGGCTTAGGGCCAGTGTTTAGGACCCAGGGTTTCGAGTGTAGGGTTTCGGCTGTAGGTTTTTTGTTGTTTGAAGGCCTTTCTTCATAGCAGCTCCGGTCGATGTACTTCCAAGAAAGCCGGAACCTGCTCTATGACTCTTCGAAAGTCGTAGGGTTTAGGATTTAGGCGGTTTAGGGCTTAGGGTTTTCAGCTTAGGGTTTCGGGTTTAGGGGTTGGGACCCCAAATAAACTAGCTTGTAATGACTTACTTATGTAAGGAATGCATAAACGAGGAATCCCAAAAAGGTTGGCTTTAGAGTTCATGGAGCGTTTGGGGGGGTAGTGTTTAGGCCTTGGATTGTAAGGTTTGGGGTTTATGGTTTGGGGTTTTATGGATTGGGGTTTTAGGGTTTAGCGTCTATGGTTGAGGTCTTTGAGCTTTGGGGCTTTGGGGTTCGTTTTGGGGCTCCAGGGTCGTTGCTTCTCGCGATTGTGTCGTTCGGGTTGCGGGTCTCCAGAGTTCCTACCCAGTGTCCCACAAGGGTGGCTTGCAACGAAAAGGGTGCTTGCAAGAGAGGCTTAGACCTTAATAACTCGAACATGCTTTTGGGCTCCTTTGTAGTATAATTCAACCAAGGAACCCAAAGTAATAATGCTAAATAAACCCTAAACCCTAAACGGGCTTTCAAGTAATGTTAAATGGGCTGCTTTCATGTTCAGGGTCTGGGTTTTGGTTCTTGCTTCGGGTCGCGCGCGTTGGGGTTTCGGTGGTTCGGCGCAGGATGCAAGCGTTTGGGGTCAAGGGCTTCGAAGTTTAGGGTTTTGGTGTTTGTGGCCCCAAACCCTACAGCCCTAAAGCCCTAAACGCTAAACCCCCAACCCCAAACCCCAACACCCCTAAACCCCAAATCCCCAAAACCCTAACCCATTTACCCGAAACCATTTTTTGGGGGTTCAATAACCCCCTCAAAGAACCCTCAAGCCGTCTGGCCTTGGTCTGCTCCTTCTTCAGCTTCGATGCCACCTTACCAAGGTTCCACGCAGATTCAGTCCTCAACCCACAAAGCCTGAACACCATAAACCTTCATGGTTTTGGGGTTTAGGGTTTAGGGTGGTTAGGGTGTAAGGTTTAGGGCCCAGCGGCCCTAGCCATAATGAATGCCAGGCGCGTGAACCCAAAGCATGAGCCACTCTGGATTGTAAACCCATCGAAAGCCTAAACCCTGAATCTCCAGGCCTAAGCCAGAAAAAATGGAGTAGCTCGCATGCCGCCATCAAACCTCAAATCCAAAACCCAATGCGAAACAGACACAACAACATATCATCACAACACTCTGTGCCTTTGCAAACTAGGCAAACTAAATCGTCATACCATAGTGCACCAGAAACGCTTCTCGACACTACCCTCCTGCCAAAAGCCTCTGAATATTCTAAACCATACACTCCTACACCCTACCAAAAGCCTCTGAACACCACCCTAAACCCTATAAGCCCTACACTCCTACACCCTACCGAAATTCTCAGAACACGACCCTAAACCCTACACTCCTACACTCTACCCAAACTCCTACAC